CAAACCCAGGTTCCAATACAGCCTCTACTCCTTCCTGGCTGTATGACCTTGAGCTAGAGGCTGTGCCAGACAGGGACGTAGCCTTCTGATTGGTCACCCTGTTTCAAGTTTCTACACACTCCTGGCCATCCTCCACTCCACCAAAGTGCTTAATAAATATGGGTTCAGTGGCTAGTTAGAGAGCTGGCCTCTGAATCAGGAAGCCCTGTATTCAAATTCCACCTTAACTCAAATTGGCTGTGTGACCTTGGGCAGGTAGCTCTCTAAGACCAAAAGTTATAGAAAAGGTGTTTGTAGAGAGAGTCCCTGACTGAGAGCTACCTGTGCTGGTAAACTCATCCCTTGGGTAACGAAAACAAAATAACCTTAGACAAGTCATTACCCTCTCTGGGACTCAGTTTCACCATCTATAAAACAAGGTGGGGTGGATGATGATTTCTTTTTTAAGATTTTTAAAAATTAATTTATTTTTAGTTTTCAACATTCGCTTCCATAAACTTTTGAGTTTTAAATTTTCTCTCCCTCCCTCCCCACCTTCCTCCCCAAGATGATGTGCAATCTGATGTAGGTTCTACATATACATTCCTATTAAACATATTTTCATGTTAGTCATGTTGTAAAGAATTAGAACCAATAGGAGGAACCAGAAGAAAGAGGAAACAAAACAAAGCAGAAGAGAAAAAAAAGAGCAAATGGTAGACTTCGATCTGCATTCAAACTCTGGATGTAGACAGCATTTTCCATCATGAGACTTTTGGAGATGTCTTAGACCCTTGTATCACTGAGGAGGGCTAAGTCTATCAATATTAGTCATCACAGAACGTGGCTGTTACTGTGTACAGTGTTCTCCTGGTTCTGCTCACTTCACTCAGCATCAGTCTATACAAGTCTTTCCAGGTTTTTCTGAAGTCTGCCTACTTATCATTTCTTATAGCACAACAATATTCCATTACATTCATATACCACAACTTGTTCAGCCATTCCCCATTTGATGGGCATCCCCTCAATTTCCAATTCTTTGCCACCACAAAAAGAGCTGCTATGAATATTTTTGTACATATGGGTCCTTTTCCTATTTGTATGATCTCTTTGGGATACAGAAGTGGTATTGCTGGGTCTAAGGGTATGCACATTTTTTCTAGCCCTTTGGCCATAGCATGGATGGTGATTTCTAAGGGACTCTTCAGCTTTGACATTCTATATTTTCAGAATGAGTGTCCTATTTACACTTGAAGTCATCCGTCTGTGAGTGGGGTGTGTGAGAAAGGATTAGGAGTTAGGCTTCCACAGCAGAACAATGGGATTCTGAGAAGGACTTCCAAGATCTTGTGGATAGCCCCTCAACCAATCAGAAAGTGCCCCAAACATTCTGCAAACAACTAGTTCCTTAAGAAAGAGATAGCTGCCATTTTTGAACATGGGATGCATGAACTGGGAGGGTTAACTTGAGAAGGAAGAGTTAACATGCCATGAGATGGGCGGTTCAGGAAGAGGGTAACTCAGACGAGCTGGGCCGACCCTAGTCCTGGCAGGAGGAGGAGGAGGAGCATACTAACAGTATAAAAGCTGGCTCTCACTTCTGTGCAGTATGCCTCTCCCACCAGGGGGCGCACCTGATTCTTGCAAGAACCGTAAACGATTCTTCTTTCACTCCCAGACTTAGTTTCATTATTAAGAGTGAGACTCCACCTGGCATTACAAATGGGAAAGCAATGGGCTGCAGGAGCTTGCCCAGGCTAACTTCCCAACCTTGTTGAGAGGGTTCAAGGGGCTCTATTTCCAACAGGTGGGGGTTGGGACAATTTCATATTCAAGGATGAAAATACAATCAGGATAGAATTTAGAGTTGTATCTGTTGATCATTTTGAGTTCAGGATACTCTGTTGAGGCCACTTGGTGTGAACCAAGGCTGGAAGTAGTAATAGCGTCTTCTAATTGGACATTTTTACCTTTGTCAAGTAAATCCACTTTTAAAAAATCTTATTCTGAGAGGCAGCAGGGCTTACTGGCCCCAAAGCCAGGATAACCTGGTACACTGTCCCATCTCTAATACCGACAGCATGACCTTGGGCAAGTCACTACCTTTCATGCTTCAGACAACCTATTGTATCAGAGCATCCATTGCAGAGAAGGTGCCAACCTGCATTGGTAAGTCCCATCTTGGTGCCTATTGCACAGAAGGACTCACAAACTAGAAGGGAGCTGGAAGAAGCCCAGAGGGGTTTTCATCAGCTCTGTCACTTTGTAGAGGAGGAAGCTGGGTCAGGTGACTTGTCCAAGGTCATACAGTCCAGTTGCAGCAGAGCTGGGACTCAAACCCGCATCTAAGGATTCCAAATTCATTTCACTGGAAAGAATAGATTTGTTGACACCCCTCAAGGACAGATTCTCCTGTACTGTCCATGCTAAAACCACAGTGTGCTGGGCCCAGGAGAAATTGGTAAATTTTTATTGCAAACATTTATACCTTGGAAAACACCCCAAATGCTACAAATCAGACCTTGATTTATTGTTAATTGTCTGGACTTAAGAATGTGATGGAGTAGATTTAACAATGCAGATAAAAATGAAAAGTATGTCATGCCTATATCGATATGTATATCTGTATTACATATATATGTCATGCCTATATATGTGTATGGGATAAATTTTTAACAATTAGCTTTCATATATATGAGCTGCTTGTCAAATATTTCTTATATGAGTGCTGATTGTTAAACATTTATCACATATATGAGCTGACTGTTAAACATCCGCCGCATACATCTATAGAGTTGATCCTTAAACATTTCTTATACAAGTGCCGATTGTTAAACGCCTATCACATATATGAGCTGATTGTTAAACATTTATTCCATGTATGAGCTGATTGTTAACCATTCCTCACATATATAAAGAGCTGGTTTTTAAACATTTATCACATATATATGTATAAGCATACATATATACATATGCATACATACATATATATATATATATATATCTATATATCTATATCTGATTGTTAAACATTTATTAGCACATGCTTGCTCCTATTCATGTAAGCAGTCAACAGACCAAGTGAATTCTGAGGCTTAGGGTCATCTGGGGGAAAGGCAGGCAGGCAAGGGGGGCCAGACACCCTGGATAATAGTGGAACTTCCTCTTCTCCCACTCCCCTCTGGTAGTCCCAGGGACAGTCAAGGGAAAGGAGGAGGTGTGTAGACAAGGGGGCAGGGTGACCAGATCTGAGCGGTAAAAAGTCTTCCCATAGCCAGGCCTTCCTGGATGCATTCTGGGATTGCCAGGGGCAGACCCTTAAAACATCTGTTAGTGGATATGACTAAAAAGTGCTAACGAGAATATTAATCAAGTGTGAAAACGTACGGCATAAACAGCAAGCAGAAAGTCATGAGACCTGCACCTCCCAGAGTTATCAGGGAAAGCAGCTTTGGCAGCTGCCGGAGACACTTCCCAGAGACAGAAAGGTCCTTGGGAACCCATTCTCCTCTGTGGCCTCTCCCTCTTCTGGGCCTTGCAAACATCTCTTCCAGCAGGCGGGCTATTTAAACAGTGGTGAGCCCGGTTTGCTCCCCTTGATGAAGAGAGCTTTTTCAGCAGTGAGCTGTGAATAATAGCTTCTGACTTGAAACACTGTCCAGATATGTCACAGATGGAAAACACTGTCTGCTCCCATTGGATCTGGCTTCTCTGATGGCTGAGGGGTGTCAGAGTCCAGATGTGTGTGTGTGTGTGTGTGTGTGTGTGGCTCTCCCCGGGGACCGTGGCCCAATCAGTGGAGTTCCTTAGGCTTCTGCTGGGCCAGGGACCTAGAATTCTGAAATCGCAGTCTCACACAACGGCCCAGCTGGAGTCTTACCCCACTTGGTAATATAAAGTCCTGTCTAATGAGAAGCATATGGAATCTGGGAGGAGGGGCAATGCTGTTCAGAGAAAGGAGAAAAGCATGAAGGCTGAGGAAGAGGAGAGAAAGGATCATGAACTCTTTGATTTTAGAGCTGAAAGCAAATTTTTAAAATGAATATTCCTAAGGCCTAGACTCCTAGCCAAAGTCTTTGCTCTGTTCTGCCTGAGCTTTTCTTCACTGACTTTCTCATGGGCCACACACCAGAGCTTCTTGGGATGATCCACCCCACCCCCACCACCAGCAGTCCTTAACTGCCTCACAGATGACTCATTTCCACCAGATTCTTTGGGTCTCAACAGGGACTACGCCTTTCTTTACCTTAGTTTACTATAAGAAAAGACTAATGTTTTGTTTTTCCTATGAGGCCTTTACTACCACCTAAGAGGGAAAGTTAAAATAAAATCATTTCCAGACCACAAAATTGATACGGAGGTGGCCATTAGAACTTCCAGAAAGTAACTAATTCCTGTTCCCATCAATCTAGTCTCTGAGACAGGAGAATCTGAGCAAAGTGAAGTATTTCTATGTCTATGCAAGAAAGAAAGGAGTCATTACCCCCCATCCCCAACAGCTGCAGGGTGTAAGTCCATTGCAGGAGTAAAGAAAACCTCCTAAAAGCTGGGTCTGAAGTTAAACTGCCCAAGTTCTAGCCCCTCTCCAGCTTGGGGTCTCAAGAGATCATTTAACAAAGACTGATGGGGGGCAGCTAGGTGGCACAGTGGATACAGCAGCGGTGCTGTAGTCAGGAGGACCTGAATTCAAATCTGGCCTCAGACCAAACACTTGAGACTTACTAGCTGTGTGACCCTGGGCAAGTCACTTAACCCCAATTGTCTAAAAAAAGAAACAAACAAAAAACAACTAAGACTGAGTAAGTACATAGCATGTGTAAATCCTTAAGCTAGGCCCTGAGTATACAGTGACAAAAATGAAACATTTCTTGCATCCAAGGAACTTTTATTCTATGGAAGTGAGGATGGGAAATCTGATAAGCAAAGAGAACATTGATTTTGTTGTTAGCACAAATACATAACAAAAACAATGAAAGAGGAAAAAGGAACTCAAGTTTATATCCGCTTTTGTCGTCTTATAGGTTGATTTGCATGGCAACCTGGGGCAGAATGGAGAATGAAATAAAAACTCATCATCACCCCTGCTCCACAGATTGCCTTTACTCCAAACCTCCATAAGGTTGTGTCAGGAGTTGAGAAGTATATACCTTTCAAGTCAGGTAAGAGACTCAGACCAGAGAAGAGGAAGAAGAGTTCAAAAGATAAACTTAAAGATGCCTAAAGGGTTTTTTAGCTAGCCTAATGGGAGTTGGCAGGAGGGTGAACTGGGGTCAAATCACAAAAGAGCTAAAGATGACATCTGGGGTTATCAAACTATAGAGCTGGAAGACCTTTCCCGCTGTGATATGGGGTAGCCCAGCTGCTGACAGCAGAGAGAACAGAAATAGCATCTCTAGCTCAGGGGAGAAGGCAGTTTACTTGATGACACTACCAGAAGACTGTAGCAACTCTAATTTCAGAGATTTTAGTTGCATATGTGATGTGTGCTCCCTTAAGGCGCCCCCTGACAGGCATGTTCCTTCGTCATACATGTCCCTTTTTGAGTGTGTCCTCACAATCCGCTAGCAGTATATTAACCTGTGGGAGAGTGCAACTCTGTGTCTATGGGGAAAATCTTTGTTGTCATTTATCTTCTTATGCCCTTTAATTACATGCTTTGAACTAAGGTTTGGCTAATGAAAGAAACACGTTGGTGGGGGCTCATGAGCAATGCTTTTAAATGGATTCTGAGCCATAGTTTGCCTTGAAAGTGGGGAAGCATTTGTGGGCCTTACACAGGAGATGCCTGCTTGGAGCTGCAAACGTGCACACAGAAAAGTATAATTCAAGGGAGTAGATTGCAGAACTAGAGGAAAGACTGCAAAAATGTGAGGAGGTAGAGAGGATATTTGCAGCTGTGGGATTCATTGGTCTACCCTGCTTGAGGTAAGGTCAAGTTTCAGACTGTAAATAGCCAAAGCATTTTACAATGAAGTAGCTGAGTCTTGATACAGTTAAGTGATTTGATCAATGTCCACCTAGAAATTGTAAATGGACAAGCATGGGGGAAATAAAACCCAGGTCCTTCCTCCCTGCTCTGCACTGCCTCTTGGGGAAAGGATGAAAACAATTGAGGGTTAGAAGGGACCTCAATGGTCATTTATTCCAACATATACATGAATAGAATTCCCACTATAACATATCCAAAAAGTGGTCTTTCAGCTTCTTCATGAAGATGGAGGAATTCAAAACCTCTCCAAGCCCTGCCCCTTCTACTACTGGACAGCTCTAATTGTTAAGATGCTTTTATTCTTCCTGATACTAAGTCTGTATTTGTCTCTTTGAACCTCCCATCCATTGTTCCTAGTTGTAGCCTCTGGGGCTGAATGGAACAAATTGAGTCCCTCAAACACAGGAGAGGTCTTCAGTCATGTTCTCCCAAGTTTCCATTTCTCCAGGTTAACCAGGTCAAGTCCCTTCAAGCAACCGTCATATAACATGGATTCAAGACCCTTCACCCTCCTGATCACTCTCCTTTGGCTGCTCTTCAGCTTACCGGTGTGCCTCTGAATCCACAGGGTATAGAAGTGGATATAATGCACAAAATGAGGTCTGACAAGGGTGGAACTTAGTGGGATTGTCAGAAGCTAAGCCCCTCTTGACACATCTCAAGATCATGTTAATTCTTCAGCTGTCACATCACACTGATGACTTATATAGAGCTTGCAGTTCATTAAACTCCCCAGTTCTTTTTTTCAGAACATTTGCTGTCTATCCATACCTCCCCCATTGTACACTTAGGCTGTTATATTTTGTATACAAGTACAAGACTTTACATTTGTGCCTATTAGATTTCATCTTATTAAATTAGACCAATGCTCCAACCTGAAAATATCTCTTTGAACAATACCTCTGTCATTCAATGTGTTAGCTGTTTCTTGAATTTTTGTGTCATTTGCAAATTTGATGGGAATACCATCTATGAGTTTAAATAAGTCATTGATGAAAGTGTTAAAACCATCCTGGGCCAAGCCTCCGAGGAATTCCATCCTGTCACAATGAGAACCATTAAGAACTCCTCTTTGAATCTGGCCTTCTAACCAGGTCTGAATCCATCTGATTATATTCAATCAATTAACATTTATTAAGTGCCTACTATATGCTAGGCACTGGGGACACAAAAAAGAGGCAAAAGAAAGTCCCTGCCCTCAAGGATATTACAATCTAATGAGGGAAGACAACAAGAAAACAAGTATATACACAATAAACTAGATATAAGATAAATGGGAAATAATTAACAGGGGAAAGTGCTGGAATTCAGAGGGATTGGGAAAGGCTTCCTGTAGAAGGTAGAATTTTAGTTGGGACTTAAAGGAAGCCAGGGAGGTCAGTGATCAGGGCTGAGGAGGGAGAGACTTCCAGGCATGGAGAGAGTGCCTGGAACCAAGAGATGGGGTGTCTAGTTCATGGAAGAGCCAGGAGGCCAGTGTTACTGGACCCAAAGAGTATGTGAAGGGGAGTGAGGTGTAGGAAGACTGGAAAGGTCTAACCCATGTCTCTCCATTGTAGAAGAGTGTGAGATACTTTATCAAAAGCTTTACTAAGATCTAGTAAACTTGATCCATGGAATTCCTTTCATCTGCTCATTCAGTTGTAAAGAAGCTTAATCGGAGACGACCTGTTTTTGATGAAGCCAAGGTGGCTAGCTGTAATCATTATCCCCTTTCTACATGGTACCAAATATTTAATGATCCCTTCCAGAATTTTCCCAGGAATGAAAGTCAAGTTCACTAACCTATAGTTCACAGACTTTGATCTCCTATCATTTTTTTTTAAATTGGGATATTTGCTATTCTTCAATCTGACGGCAATTCTCCCATTCTCCAGGTTCTTTCACTTACCACAGACAGTGTGGCTCAGCAGTCCCTTCCGCCAGTCCTTTCAGGATCCCCTGCTTTACTTCATCTGAGCCAGGGGGCCTGATTTTATCAGGGTCCATCTCAATTTTTGTCCTTTCTTTTTCTGTGAAAAGGCCAATTTCATTTACAAAGAAAAAAAGAATTATGAATTGAGCATCCTTTCACTCTGTTGTCAGTTATCATTATCCTATCCACACCAAGTAAAGGTCCTACCCTTTCTTCTTCCAATATGGCAAAATAAAACAAAAAAAAAATCACAAACAAACAAAAAACCACTTTGCTTTCTTTCACTTCCCTTGCGGGCCTCAGTTCATTCTGAGCTTTCATACTTTTTACACTCTTTACCTGAAGGTGCCACACTCTGACAAATGAAATTAATTCTAGTATTTCCCTATGTTATTTCCTATTTGTCTTGTATATAGTTTGCTTTATACATATTTATTTACGCTTTGTCTCCTTCTTTAGATACTAAGCTCCTTGAGGGAATGGATTTCTTTAGCCCTCTTTTGTATCCCCCATACATAGCATAGTGCCTGGCACATAGTCGGCATTTAATAAATGTTTACTGATTATTTACAAATTCATTCTGTGTTACTTAGCCTTCTATCTTCCATACGTTTCTTTTTCTAAAAATGTTATTACACATACAATAATCACTGTGTATTTATTTTGTGCATATCCTGTATTTACTTCTCAGTGAATGTGTTATTTCCTCCAAAGTAGAATACATGGTGGGATTTTATCTTTGAGGTTTTGCTTAGTTTTGCTGAACTTGATTTTTCTTTCTTTTTAAAAAATATTTTATCATAATGGATGGTTCTCTAGGATGAGAGGCAGTGACATAATGTGAAAGGCAGAGGAGGTAAAAACAATATATCACTGATATTTTTTAAAAGAATATAAACTCCCTGAGGACAGGCACTGGTTCATTTTTTTTCTTTGTATCCCCTAAGCCTAGCACTGGTCCTGGCACAAAGCAGATGCTTTACAAAGGCTGTTAATTAATCAATTCATTGTTGAGTGCAATAATCTTTCTAGTATTCAAATGTCGATGTAGACTATTTGTACCCAACCTGTGGTGAGCATTCTGAGCTCATATTGGTCTGATTAGCTGCAGTTGGACACACTATACCTTCATTCCAACATAAGGATGTCATTTGGGTCCTCTTTGAAAATGAAGGGTCATCAGCCATGAAGTGAGTCCATGAGTCAGAAGGTGGTAAAACAGGAGTATTTAAGGTGTCTTAAGCTACCGCCTATGAGATAAAGGTCTAAAACCAGTCATTTTAACTAAGTCTAGGTCAATAAAACACCACTGGTACCAACCCTCTCATCTCCTGCAAAACATCCCCCTTCGATGTTAGTGCCTACATTGCTCAACCTCTTGGCTTCTGTTACTTAACTATAGAGAGGAAAGGGAGATCCAGGAAAGGTCAAGGAGAGAGGGATAGTATTATCACTTATGTCTCTCAGCTTGGGTGATGCAGAGAAGAGAACACAGAAAGAGACCCACATCTATCTAATGCCTTCAGGGAAGAGGAGAAACTGCAGCTGTAGATGGTACATTTTCATAACTAACATAGAACTGAGTAAATCATATCCTTTCCCCTTTTCTCTCCCCACCCCTATCTTTCTTTTCTTTCTTAGTTTGTCGATGTCTATAAATACATATACATATACACATATCAATATAAAGGCACTATATAGTTATCTATAAATCTATAGTTTCTAGATATCTCTATCTACTTATGTCTCTATAATATACGTTTGTATATATTATGGATATAGATATATTGTATGTATATATACACACAACACATCTGTATACATAACATATGTTATGTGTGTATATGTGTATATATGTGTGTATGTGTATATATATATATATATATATATAATATATATATATATATATATATATAGAAAGAGAGAGAGAGAGAGAGAGAGAGAGAGAGAGAGAGAGAGAGAGAGACAGACAGACAGACAGACAGACAGACAGACAGACAGACACTGAGCTGAAATTTGACCTGATTCAGTATTTTTGTCTTTCCTTTCTGCCTCTGGAAATAAGGTGTTTGGCCCTCAGAGCAGAGTTTCTGCTAGGGCATCCTTACCTGGTATTTGAAGCTTTGCACAGTCTGGCTCCTGGCTTCAATCTCATTTCTGATCTATTACTTCCCTTCATACATTTTCTGTTCCAATCAAACTGGCCTCCTAACTCTCCTTCATACACAACATTTTTATCTCCTGAACATAAAACCCACCACTGGATAATAAAATGCTTAATTGAACTTAATCCAATATCAAAATGTATGCCATGAATAGCAATATGCAATATTAGTAATTCAAAAATAGAAGGAAAAAATACAATAAAGTGGACTTGGTGTTGAATTATTCCTCAGTGTCGGTGCTCAAGAAGAGTAGGTCTAATTAGACAATGACAAGGAGGTAGTTGAAGAGGTTTGTAGAGATTCTTAAGGAGCTCCTGGACACCTTGAAGGATGGGGGTCACAGAATGACAGATTTTGATCTAGAAAGAACCATAAGATAATGTGTAACGCACGCATTTCCTCCCCACCCCTGGCCCGTACATCGAAGCTCAATCCAGAATTCCTGGCTTTCCTTTACCTTGACACACATGTATCCCTAGTATCTTATTACCATTTGTAATTGATTTATTGGACTCACAAGCAAAAATCGCACGCATGTTTATATATAGAGAGAGGGACTGACAGAGGTAGAGACAGGGACAGACACAGAGAGACAGGAGACAAAGACAGAGAGACATAGACATAGACAGACGGACAGTCTGAGACAGGAAAAGAAAAACAGACAGAGACAGAGAAAGATAAAATCAGACAGACAGAGAAGGACAGAGAAAGACAAAGACACAGAACATAATATTTATTCCAGAAGTAGTCTGACCCAGACCTGAGTACAGTGGGACTTTTCCTTCCTTATTCCTGGAAGCCATGACTCCCTGTCTCAGAGACTACATTAGATTTTTTTTTCTGGCAGCTATATCACATCGATGACTCATATCTGGCCTGTAGTGCACCAAAATCCCAGATCTTTTTTTTTTCTTTCAGACAAACTCTTGCCTTACTATGCCTCCCTAATTGTGTACTGTGAAGCCAATATTTTGAAAACGAGACTAAGACTTTAAATTTATCTCTGTTCATTTTCTTCTGATTAGATACAGTTCAATGTTCTAGCTCATTGAGATTTTTTTTTGGTCCATCCTCTGTCATTCAGTGTTAGCACTACCTGTAAGTTTGGTGCCATCTGCAGATTTAATGAACGTGTCATTATGCCTTTATCCAAATCACTGATAAAAATATTTAATAGCACAGGGCCAAGCACAGATCCCTGGGGCACTTGACTGGAGCATTCCTTTGAAGCTGACGTTGAACCATTAATGACTGTTAATTTAGCCAGTTGCAAATCCATTTAGTAGTATTATTGCCATGCTCATATCTCTCCATCTTTTCCACCAAGAAAGAAAGAGTGTGAGAAACTCTATCTACAGTAAAGTTTACATAGAATTATCTGACTGTGAACAGTGAAAAGCTGAAGAAAAGGGTTGGGGGAGGGAAGGCTGGCTGTACAAGACACGCATGACCACCTTGAGGGGGAAGAAAGGAAGTGGCAGGGTCAGACATTTCCCCACTGGCCACCAGGAGGTGCCCTTGGCCCAGGACAGTTTACTTACTTCCCGGCTCAATCTCAGGGTGGGAGGGGCAGGGGAGAGAGTGTGAAAGCGGTCACTTGTATTTACAATAGGTTTTTAAGTCATAAAGTTGTAAATCAGTGGGAAAATCCCTATACCCTGAGAGTTTACTTTCAGCCAGAGACAAAATTAATCCATGAGTGTGTGTCTTAGGTGGGGTGAGAGGGTGGGCAGGGAGGAAGTAATGAGGAG